ACATTTGAACCAGGAGGATTTTAAATAATTTTTTTTATTTAAAGAAGTTAATGATTGTTTTTTTTACATGTTCTGGTGTTATTTAATTAAAAAAATGTTAAGTTGCTTTTTTCTCAGTATGAAGTATTTAAGACGCCGGCCAACATTGCTCTCCAGCCATTCAAGAGCCGTTCATAGAATTTTCAGTGAATGTTTATTAAATGGTGTAGAGTGTTTTAAGTTGAACAGTTTTTTTTTTTTTTTTTACACCTGCTGTTTATGCTGTTTTAATACTATATTATTGAATATTGAACTTTGACTTCAAAATGCCTGAATTTATATTTGTAAAAAAAAATTCTGTTTAACTTAAAACACTCTTCTACTCTATGTAAACACCATATAAAAATTTCAACTAGGCTTGTTTTGTTCCCTGCCCCCAATATTGGCCGGCGTGAAACCTGTTTTTGCTGTTTTTTGGTAATTTTTTATGGTTTCCATAGCAACAGGTTACCATTTTATTTTTTTTAATTCTTTTTTCTTATTTCTTTTATATATGATATTGATTTGACAAATATTTATTTTTGTAAAAGTTGATTTAAAAATCAGAGGGGGTTTCCCCCCTTAAAACACTTACAACTTAAACAAAAACTAAAACTATTATTTTAAAATAATGAACAAACAGAAAATTATTTTTAAATCTACCTAGGGTATCAATAAAAATTTTATATTTAATTCAAATTTTATATTATAAAATCTACCTACAGTATCTGAAAAAATATTTTATTTGAAAATTACCTATTAAGTGCATACTTTATTTGTCTGGAAAGGTTTTTAATTATATACATTATAGTCAGGGCCGGCGCGAGTAGGTGTCACGTAGGGGGGGGGGGGGGTCGTTACATTTTGCCATGACGACACTTGCCGAATGTACTGTCTACATTACCGACTAACCTATATCAAAAGTGTCGACATTTGCCGACTAACTAGTCTAAAAGGGTCCAATTTGCCGACTAAAAATCATTGATGGGGGGGGGGGGTGTCACACACCTACACACACTCCTATCGCGCCGGCCTTGATTATAGTCAGTTATATTATGTACGCATGTATGTATATATGTATATATGTGCATACACATGTACATATATGTATATATATGCATACACATATATACGTAGGGGAATGTGGGGCAACATGGCGAATGGGGCAAGATGGGTTTTCATATAACAACTCAACAAAAAATCTTAAAGTTGGGTGAAAACAAAACTGTGTTTGCATCGTGTATTTTAAAACACAAATTGGTTTTTTTAAATATTATTAATGCATTTTTATACGCATAAGTGCACTTTTTGCGCTTAAAAAAAACCTCAGTTTCGGTTTCTCATAATGGATGGTGTCCTTCAAGTTTAACTTCTTTAGTAGTTTTTTGCGACTTGTGTTGATTTTGCGTTAACTTTAGAAACTTTAAAAGTTAGAGTTATTGGTAGTTTTTAAAATTTTATAAAATTGGAGGCAAAAGTTGCATAATAAGTCATTTTGCCCTGGTCACGTGACCAGATGACAAATTTATGAACCTTTTATTTTAATATTTAATTCAAATTGTTATATTTGCAAACTGAAAATTCATGCAGGCAATGAATCATTTTAATAAAATAAACATACTGAGAAAGTATTATTGCTTCACGACTGATAGTTTTACAATAACTCAGGGCTTTCAAAACGTTCGCCATGTTGCCCCGCTTTCCCCTACGTGTGTATGTGTATATATGTATGTATGTATGTATATATATATATATATATATATATATATATATATATATATATATATATATATATATATATATATATATATATATATATATATATATATATATATATATATATATATATATATATTATCTTTTGATTGTAAATTAACTTATATGTTTTCATTTTTTTTTTCATGTTTTCTTTTTTTTTGTTGTTGCTGTTGGTTTTTGTTTTCTTGAATGAATTTTTAAAATTTTCTTTTAATGAATACATTTAAAATTTGAATTTATATAGCATTGCAATACCGTAAGTTAACCTTCATGTTATTTAGATTAAATTACTTCCTTAACTTTAATTAAAAAATAACTTCGAAAGACTCTATTACACTATTTTGCATTTTATATAAATTTCTTTGAAGCATTTTTCTTTTTTCTCTCATTTTTAATTTTTGTTACGACGTAAGAAATGTCTTGAATAAACAAGGGACTTGGTAATAAGTAAACCTGTTTTCTTCTCGTTCTTGCCATTTTTATATATATTATAAAACACGGAACTTATAAATATTTGTACGGCTAAATAAATGAGAAAAAAAAAAAAAAGGCTATACCCCAGTAAGCACAGATCGTTTTTAAAACGTTTAAAAAACGTTAATATTCGTTTTTTTAAGTTTTTTAAACGTTTTAAAAACGTCATGTGCTTACTGGGACAGATAAAAAAATGAGAATCAAAAATGTGAATCGTTTTGCTGTGGTTTTTAACATATCTTAAAGAAGTTTTTATATTATTATAGACAACTTGATTTTCTCTCGTTCATGATTTTAACTGATTTTAAATATTTTAAAACATAACTCAAGAATGAATGAAATAAGTTGAAATTTTCAAGAAAAACTCATTTCTTATAATAATCCATACATTATAGGCTTTTTCTTTTATAACTTTTCATTTTTTAACATTTACACAAATAGTGTCTTAAACACACTTTTTACTAATATTTTTTATATTTTGTGAAAAATTAGTCAATCAAAAAATTGGTATTATAAGTGGATTTTACTATCACCTTGAAGCTGTTGAAATTTTGATGTTGTTACTGTTACTATCAGTAGATATCATGTTTTAAAATTTTGCATATTTTTATCTTACTTTAAGGGGCTATCCCCCATAAAATTTCAAAATTTTCAATTTTTTTTTTTTTTTTAATTTTAACTATTTTAAACTATTCAGAATCATAAAATTTGTTTTGGATGTATCAGATTATTCTTTAACTATCTTAACTTGGTAATTTGGTATACCAAAACAAACATTTGTATCAATTACCCAATTGGTGTATATGATGCTGTTACCAACTTTAATATTGGAGCAAAAGCATCTATTGATATTTTGAAGCAACTGGACATGGAACCAGGCTTTCATATGATTGCAGGATGCAAATCATTAAATAATGAAAGATTACAAAAAGCTGAAATTAGAATGAACCCTGCTAAAAAGTTAAGAAGGCTAATATTACCTGCCAAGAAACTGAAGAAGAATGAGAAAATAATTGAAAAAGAAGGTGACTTGTATGTTCCTGGTGGATTTTGAAAACTTTGTTTATTTTTTAACAGTTTTTATGAAAAAAATTGTTTTGTTTTCAAAAATTTTAACTTAAATCGTCTTTTTCTCAAAATAGAAATTTGTGCACGCCGGCCAAAATATCTGGAGAACTGTATTAGATTTTTATATGAAATTTTCAGTAGGTGTTTATCATATTATACTCTGTGAAATGAATGGAATTTATTTATTTTATTAAAAAAATATATATATGACCTAAAATCAATGAAAATTTTGACCATGATCTTTGATTGTGCCATTTTGATGATGGCAAAATGTTATGAAAAATCTGATCCATTCATTTCATAGCCCTACTTTATGATAATATTGTATTAAAATTTTAAAAGGTAAATATGTACACATATTCTTATATTTTGGCCAGCGTGAAGTTATTTTTTGGTTACCAAGGAAACCACCAATTTTTTTTAATTTTTTTTTTTAAAAAGGTTTATATTTTACTAAAACCTAGAAACCCATAACATTTTTTTTAGATTTAAAAACAGAGGGGGGTAGCCCCTTAACGATAAAGCAGAGTCAAATCCAAAGCAAAAAAAAAAATAAAAAAAATAGCGTCTTTAAAATATATTTTAGTCAAGGCCATGCATATAGACCGAAATTTGGTTATTTAAATTCACATGGCCATAAAAAAATTGTTTCTTGGACAACCACCTTAAGCGAAAACTGGAATATTTCCAAAAATAATCATGCTGGAATATTTTTGCAAGTAAACAATTTCTAGATATCACTACTCGTAATAGATATTTAGACACTCATATTTGGACAATTCATAAAATTGTCTGAAATCTTATCTATACGCATATATGGTAAATTCAAATTTCTAGTTTGTGGGAGACCTCTTTTAACAAAAAAAAGTCTTAAGAAAATTGCTCACCTTTCAGATTAAGTAGCGTTTTTTTTTTTAAATCAAATATAACTGTAAATATATGTATATCGCTTTACCAAAAATTTTTATTAGAATAATAAGTAATAAATATTTATCGCTGACTAGGGATTAAAACCGTTTTCTACACAGAATAGTAAATATATTGTAACTAACGATAAGAAAACAAGCATTCGGTAGCTTTAAATAATAGCCAAGAACTCGTGCAAGACCAACCCATTTAAAGATTAGCGATTTTGATGGTTTGAACTAATTACATTACATATATAATAATAATTTAACCAAAGTTTAAAATTTTAGATAAATAGAAAAAATTAAATATACATATATTAAAGTGTGAAGTGTTTAATTACGCAATAGTTACTAAGTAACTTGAAATATATTTAAAAAATAAAAATAAAGCTACATAATTTTACCTAGCTTTGCAAAAGAAAATCTGATTAAAAAATCTAAAATTTCTTTTAACTTACATAATATTTTAAAACGTGTGTTGACAAAAAAACTTCCCAGCAGACATTTCATTAAATGTTCAAATAACGTCATTTCTGGACCAAATACCTGATGCTTATTAAAGAGAAATAATAATAAAATAATAATAAGACTCAATAAATAACAAAACATAAATAAAATAATATATGTACAAAAAAATTTATATAATAGAAAATAATATGAATAAAACCTCAAGATGTATTTTAATACTAAATAATTATTTCAAGATTATTGTGCATGCGCACATTGGCAAAACCTATTTTGTCGACACGCAAAGAAGCATTAATATAAATTTGATTCATAAAATAAATTATATTTTAAGAATTTACTCATTTTAAACAAAAAATTTAAAAGTCAATACACGTCTAATAAAAAAAAAATCAGCATTGCATCTACAAGTATCTAGTTTTATTCTCGAGATGAAGATTTTTTCTTTTTCTTTTTACTTTTCGTGGATTCGTCGCTTGATTCTCGATTTTTTTCTTTCGACTTTTTTTCCTTTTCTCGCTCTTCAAAAATAAAAAATAAAAATAAACAATTTTGTTTAAATGTTTTTATAAAATCAACAAAACTGAAAATTTAATTCGAACCTTCTTCGAATGTATAGATTTTAGTTAATAAACTTTGCAGTTCTTCTTGTGTACATAAAAAAGAAAGTTTTATTTGTATATAAACAAAAACACGAAAATATCAAATATTTCATATTCGAATATTAACACAAAATATATACTGATAAAAAAAAGCTAACGCAAAGATAATGCGAAAAAAAAAAAGCAATCCATAACGTATTTAGACTTTTAGTTGTTAGTAATTAAGTCAGTTATAAAGATACACTTTACACTAATTACAGCTTTAAAATTCAAATGATATCTTTTAAAACATGTAGAGGTGTAAATAGTAATTTTAAATGCGTTTACGCTTTTAAAATTACTATTTACACCTCTACATGTTTTAAATTTTTAAGTGCAAACCTGCAAGCTAGTAATAAAAACGTGTTAAGCACGGTCTAGTAGTACTTCTAAACAATTTTAACAACATTGAGAAAACCTGCTTAAACTTAATTTAACTTATCATAATGGAAACCCGCGCAAACAGATCAATACACGATATACAATTTGGACCGCGGTTAAGTAAGTTATTTAAAAATAATTGCATGACTAAATTATATTGTATATATATGAAAATAATAGACATTTTAATTTTAACGCCAAAACTGGATTAATTGACCCAAAATATTTTAATATTTAATTTATCACTAAACAGTTGTTTTTATATTTTTCCAATTAACAGCATATTGTTGCGTGCAGCAAATGACAAAGTAAAATTTTACCTTCTGTACTTTTTTCAACTTCTTTACTTTTGTCTTTTTTCTTTTTTCTAAAATTAAAATTATTAAAATCTTTAATCATTGTCAACTGGAAACCTATTTTTGACATGACAAACTCCGTCTAATAACCAATTATATTAGTGATAGAATGGATCCAAAATCTATAGAAAATCTTAAATTTGAGACCTGTTTAAAATTTTTTACAATTTGTATGAATAGTTCAAAATTTAGTAATAAAAAAAATTTAATATCTAACTTAAAAACGATAAAAAAAGTTAAAAAAAGAAGATAAACAAAGTGACCAATAAAGTAAGAGAAGTGGGAGTAAGATTAAGGTAAGAAAAGTGGGAGTAAGATTAAGGTAAGAAAAGTGGGAGTAAGATTAAGGTAAGAGAAGTTGGAGTAAGATTAGGGTAGGAGAAGTGGGAGTAAGATTAAGGTAAGAGAAGTGGGAGTAAGATTAAGGTAGGAAAAGTGGGAGTAAGATTAAGGTAGGAGAAGTGGGAGTAAGATTAAGGTAAGAGAAGTAGGAGTAAGATTAAGGTAGGAGAAACAAATAGATAAAAAAATGACAAAGTGAAAAAAAGATAACTAAGTAGATAAAGGGACCTCCTGTTGTTTTAAAACTACAAAACATTTACAAAATTGAAATAAAACTAAATAAAAATAGTTTTTGTAATAATAATAATAATAATAATAATGATAATAATAAATACTAACAGAGTTTGTTGAATTTGTAATAATAATAATTACACACAGAGATTGTGGGATTTGTAATAATAATAAAAACACACTGAGTTTGTAGGTTTAGATCAGTTTCCCATATTAAAAATAAAGGAGTGCCAACGGTGAAAAAAAAGTAATAAAAAATGAAACAAAATATAAATATAAAATACTTTTTTTAAGAGGTTTTTTAAATCAAAATTTTTTTACTATTTTTTGTTGGGAAAGCAAGCAGAATATTGGTAAAATCAGCAATACTAAAATTATTGATGGTAAAAACATTGACTCATTCTTGTTTTTTCCACATTTGACCAATGAAAGAAAATGCAAAAAGTCAAAAATTTTTTTTTTGATATCCAGAATGAAATTGTTTTTTTAGAAGGTCTCTGGAATGTTTCATTGGACTTTCATTGAATTTCTTTTTATTTAAGATGTTTCTTTAAATCTTTTTTTAACTTTTTGGAATTAAAGGAAAGAATGTCAGTGATCATCTTAACAGAATATTTGGTTGTCCTTATGATGAGCTCAAAACAACGGATCAACCTTTTTATGTTTTTAAAGTCTCAATCACAAATTAAACGCCCCCTGATTAAAAAATAATTCGCGATTTTTTGGAAGGCTATATGATAAATTCCTTAATAATCTTAGCTATGGTATTTTTTTACCCGATAAATAAAATAACAAGGTTCTTGACCGTTGGTGGCGTTTGTTCTTCATATAATCAAGCAAAAACGAACAAACTTTATCTGGTTATCAAGGTTTGTGTTTTGGAGTTATAGAATTGAGAAAGAGTTATAAACTACAATTAAGTAGCCTCCTCGGCCTTAAGAACTACAAAAAACAAAAAAAAAATTTAGGATTTTGCTTGTTCTTTTTAAATGTTTTATATGCAAAAATAAAAATCCATAGCTGTCTTGTGAAAAAACTTTCATAAATACGACTAAATATAAGGGCTTCTTAATTTTAAAACTTTCTTGAACTAAATTCAGTTTTTACATATGTTCTCTCTTATTTAGGTATGTTTGGTGTAGCCATATCTTTTCTCTGTCAATATTCACTGTCGGACATGAACTGAAAGGCCATATGAAAGATCAATTTAAAGGCACCCATTTTTAACACAATGGTATGTCTGATTTTGCACTCCTAACAAGGCTGCAAACAACCACCAATTAAGTTAGGAGTCAACAGAAAAAAAGAAGAGAGATAAAGAGCAAGAAAGTGATTGACAGAAGATTTTTTAAACTGCAAATTTTATGTGTCAGGAATACATGAAGATGGGAGAGAATTCCAAAGTACAAATATTCATCAAAAAAAGTAGATAACACTTTTTTAAGCAAGAAGGAACTATAAAAAGATGCAACTTAGCTGAATGATCAGTCTTTGAAAAAGACCGTGAAACCCCTTAAATATATACAACAAACCTACAAACCTGTTAAAATATAAGTTTAAAAATACTATCAAAGAAATTTAGTTAGGCAGCTAACTCATTAATTAATATAACTAATATTAAGTTAAACTTTAACTGGTATAAATGATTTTAAAATTTTATCAATAGATACTACTATAATAAAAATATCGAACCTGCGGCTATAGAGTTACACAATTTTGCTGCTATGGAAATTTTTAGTAGTTTATTAAGCATAGATCATCCTAGTCATTTTAAAAATCCGGAAAATTGTTTGAATAAAATATCCGGAAAAAATCCGGAATTTGTTTTCCCTTATTTTCTTTTTAATTTTGCTATTAGCTAAGTTGTTTTTAACTTTTTTTCAACACTTTTCATAATTTTTCTTTGAGTGGTGAGTGAAAAAGCTTAAAAACCAAATATATTGCAAAAATATGTACCTCAAATTGAATGTATTGAAAATGTTTTGAATATCCGGAAAAACTAAAAACTAAAAAAATTATCCGGATTTCTGAAAATATCCGGAAAAAGATAATCCCTGATAAAGTTACTGTCAACTTGAAGAAAACATGAACAATTTATTCATCAAACTGTTTCTTTACCAAATAAGTAAATATATGAAATTTTATATAGAACAACTTTTTAATATACCATATTATAAACTTAAAATAAAAACTATATTAAAAGTAAAGAGAAGTTAAACAAAAACACATAAAAGTTAGAGAATTGGAATTTCAAAACCTGGTTTCCCAACAAGTAGGTGAATTGATACGTTAATAAATTATCAGACATCAGAGATGAAACAGCCATATTTAAGTTAGTCTGACTATCCTGTGTTAACATTAGTAGAATCATTACATACTGCACAATGTTCCACAATTATTAGATTTAAGAGATCCACAATTATAAGACAAATTTTAACCAATTTTGCATATGTTATGTATGTGTTACAATATACATAAAGCATTGGTATGGCAACTAACTTTAAGTAAACATTGTTAGACTTTTTATTTTATAACAAATTTTATTTTTGTTTCTTGTAAAAATATATTGTATCTAAGACTTAATTGTGTAGATAGCTTTAATAAAGAAAAAACATTTTCTAGGACCTTTCTATATTTAGATGACTTTGATCTGCTTTTTTCCCTTGTTCTTAATTATCTCTTAATTATAAAGTACTCTGTCTTGATTAATCAAAAAAGTTAGGAAAAACTTGTAACAGTTTATTTATATACATTATGATGTATGTGTGTGTGTGTGTGTGTGTGTATATATATTTATATATACATAATTTATGAATGACATTGTTAAATAAAAAGTTTTCAATACAGTTGTAAATAATCCAGCTAATAAAAAATTAAAAACTAACTTCACTGATGATCGTTCAGGTGATTTTGATATAGATTTTTTTGATTTCTTTTTTGGTGATTTAGTACGAGATCGTCTTCTAAAATCAAAACAAACAAAAAATAATTTAAAAAATCCAATAAACAAATATTTATTAATACCAAAAATTTAATTAAATATTTCCGATATGCATGAATATTTGATCTACTCATTTTATCAAATAAGACCAAAAATCAGGATTATTGGTAAACAGGTAGCCATAAATACTAACATATGCTCATAAGTTGTTGGATGTACAAACAAAAAATTAAATGCCTTGATTTCTTTCTAGGGCTTCTTGTCCGAGATCTTCTCTTAGGACTTTTAGATCTAGTGCGTTTTCGAATACTTCTTGATCTGGATCTTCGTTTTGGACTTTTTGACTTGGATTTTCGCCTCGGAGATCGTGATTTAGACCGCTTTGGGCTTTTTGACTTAGACTTAGTTCTAGGACTTTCAGACTTCGACTTTCGAATAGGACTTTTAGAGATAGACCTTTTTATAGGACTTCTTGATTTTGACCTCCTCCTTGGACTTATCGAGCGTGACTTTCTGCGAGGACTTCTTGAGCGAGAAATAGAACGGCGAGATCTTCTTCTTCTATCTCTAAAATGAGAATCCGATGAACTGATGAAAAACTCAGTATATTTTAATTTCAAAGAATCTATATGCATTTTGTTTTTAACTTAAGGTTATTACCTTTAAAATGATCAGTTATTATTCAAACAACATCAACATAAAAACAGTATTTTTTTCTCTTGAGGCTTAGCATATATCTATCATTTTTAAAATTAATAATGGTGGCATGTCTCTTTTACAATTGATCATCACTCTCATGCACAGAGAGCAACAATATAAAACTTTATTACTTTTTTAAGTGTTGAAACTAAATTCAGTTTTTTTTTAATCATTTTTAAAATTTCTTTTAATATAAAAAAAATTTAAATATTTTATTTTTCACAAAGTATCAATGGTAATATATATGTAAAATAAATGCATAAAATAACATAGTATAAAAGTATTCATTTATAAATAAATCAATTTGTCAATAACTAATACTTTGAGATTAATTATATTAATAAAAAATTATTAATATAATAATCTATAATAATTACATAGTTTTCACAAGCTCCGTGTCTTTTCTCGATTCTCGATTGAGACCTCTTAATCCAATGTTTGAAAACCCAAAAATGAAAAGTTTTGTAATTAAAAAATATATATTAAAAAAGATGGCCACCTATTATAAATTTGTGATAAAACAATCTATTCTCTATTCAAGAAAATTTTATACCTGGAGGGACTTCTTCTTCTTCGAGGAGATCTATATTGATTAAAAAAACAACTTAAAGTAAAAAAACTTTATAAATGCAAGAATATATGAACATGTCTCTAAAATTAAATATAAATAAATGTGAAAATCAAATATGAAAACTAAAAATAAAATCAACCATGAAAAAAAAAAAAAAAATTACAACATGCTTTTATTTAATAAATTGTTGATTTGAAAAATAAAAAAAATATTATGATTTTAATAAATTTGAATTTATGAATTTTAAGAAAAGATTCAAAATGAATTCCAACTGATGATTATAAATAAAACAGTATAGTGGTCACTTTGTAAAAAGTAAGAGTATCCACTTTTTATGCTGATGAAAATTATTAATTTTGAAAAATATCTTAATCATCAGTAAACACTTAAATTAATAATCAAGTAAAAAAGTGTTTACAATCTTAAAGATAATTATAAGTAAAATTTATTTTGAAACATGCAACCTTATAAGTTTATTTATTGAAATTAGTAAAATTTCATTACTTGTTTCATCTTGTTAATATTTTAAATAACAAAATTGTACTATTTAATAAAAATAACAAAATATATTACTTAATAATAAAAAAATAACTCAATCTTAAGTTTTAATTTGAATAAACTGGTTTGTGATTACCATTGAAGCTAATTTAAGACTAAATTTTATTTATTTTTAAACATTATTATCAAAATGTTACTATATACTTAAAAAACAAAACATTTTTTAAATATTGCTTATTAAAATAAAAAAAATACTTTAAATTACAGCTTATAGTTTTTAATTGTCTTGAACGACAGCAAATACTAAATCACATGAATGGTTTTATAGTCAACAAATCCATAACAACCAAATAGGAAAAAGGAAATAGTATTATTTTCAAAAATTAAAGGAAAGATTATATCTATGCAAAGAAAAAAAATACAAATTCAAATTAACCGATGATGCAACAAACAGTTCAAATACCAGAAATAATGTTGAACTTGCAAGTGCAGAATTGAGAAATATGGTATTAGCAGCAGCATTAACTAAAACTGAACACAAGAACATTTTTATCAGATCTGATCAATCCACAGCAGAACAATATGAGTTTAATTAAAGGAAGGATCCTAAAAATCATGGTAATTTTACATACTGATTTGTCATCAAGGTATGCTGCATCAATATATAAGACCCTTTAAATCAACGTCCAAAACACCTATTTGTTGAATGGCAAAAAGCCCATGTTACACGCTCAATATCTATCAATACACAATAATATCAATCATAATAGAAAACAATTTAGCTCAGTTCAAGACTATTCAAACACCAAATACTTACTAAAATCAATTTAAATTAATTATACATTAACTTCAAAAATGCTTGTTCACTGAACAATAAATTAATTTTATTTATAGCCCTAACAAAAAATATGTCATTTTTATAACTGAAACTTTGGCTAGTAACAATAGTTTAATGTAGTACAATGTTGTTTTTAAAAATCCAGGAAATATTTTGCACACACACAAAAAAATAATCTGGAAATTATCTCCCTTATATTAGTCTTAATTTAGCTTTAAGTTAACTAATTTTTAAAGTTTTTTTACTTTTTTTTGTATGGTTACGACTAAAAAAAAAGTTAAAAAACAAATTTCAAAAAATTGATTTAAAATTGCATTTATGGAAAACTTTTAAAATTGCAGTCTATTTAAATGTCAAACTGAAAGTGTTTAAAGTTATTATGAATCAATTGAACTGTAAAGCCGTAGAACATATATGGTGCACTGTAACAACAAATTATTATTCTATCAAACGTTTATACCTTGAACAGTTAATGTTAGCATTGTTAGTTTTAGTGTCAGATGCAATCCATAATAAATTGTTTAGTGATATGTGCTTAGCCGGAGATTTCAATTTTAACAAGTTAACATGGAATGAAGACATGCATCCACATCGGTAGGCACCACTTAACTAGATCATCAATTTGTGTATACTTTTGAGGATAATTTATTTGACTGGGATGCTTTGTTTACTTCTAAAAACACAACACAATGTTAAGTGTTGTGTTTTTAGAAGTAAAATATTTTAAAAAGAATTACTTTGTAAAGATCAACCACCTTGAATAAATGACCAAATGTACAATCTTATTGCAAAAAAGAACCACTTGAATTTTAGTCAAACAAACCAGATCCTGAATTATACCGGTTTTCTATAAATTTGTTTTCAATCAAATTAAAACTATGAAAATACAATAGTTCAAAACAATTCAAAGAAACTGCTATTTAGTTAAACCAAAGCAAAAAATAAAATCAGTGCTATGCATAATTTAAACAGTGAAAAGTAAAAAAGTTTCTCCGATGCCAAAATTTATATATCAAACTACCAGTTTAGTGTCCAAGGCTTAAGTTTAGAAAACGTTTAATAGCTCATTCAAAGAAAAAGTTTCATAGCTCAAAAAGGTTCTATCCCCAATGCCTAAAAAAAATATCAAGGTTTACACAAAAATAAAGCACAAACTTTTTGGAGCCTATGTATATTGTTTCATCATCTTTGGCATGTAAGCAATGGGTTAGTTTAAGTTTTCTTGACTTTGCTAATGACACTGTGCAGCATCAACGCCTAAAGTATAAAATAGAAGCATCTGATATCACTTGAAAACTGTTTGCTGGATTAGCAACTTTCTTATAAATCAAAAGTAGAAAGATGTTGCTGGCGAATACAAATTCAGCTGGGAAGACATAACTATTGGTGGCCACAGGATAGTGTCTTAGGTCTACTTCTGTTAATTATTTACAGAAACGATGTAACATCAGTTATCAGTGACTTCCCTTGTAAATTGTAATTGGATGACTGCAAAATCAAAGCTCATATTAAAAAACTAGAGATTTTAATTTATGGTCTGACAAATGAACAAAAAAATGCAAAGTGATGCATGATGGGTAAAAACAACCCCCAATAAAATTACTATATGTTTGATACTACATTTTCAACCACCCAAAATCTTTGAAATCCAAAAAGGATCACGATCTTGGCAATAATTCCTCACTTAACTTAATTCTCTCACCATTAAGTCATATGTTTTGTGGGATATGCAGACTTCCGAAATTAAATCTAAAGCTAATAACATTTTAGGATGGTGAAAAATTCATTAACCAGTAGAGGTTAAGGGGTGCAAAAGTTGCTTCTGTACATAAGTACAGAAATTTTACAACCCGTGGAGAATGCCTTCTGTTCTGGCAAGGGATATTAAATCTCAAAAATTTTGTGAATTAAAATTTTTTTTTTTTTTAATGTCATAGCACTTTGCGGTAGCGTGCAGAAAGTTGCGCCTATGCATGGTTAATTACTGTGCTAAACATGACACCACACAAACAATGTTCTGCTCTGGTAAGAAATCTGAAATTGCTAAAAAATCTAAAAATACAATGTTTTTTCATGAAAAATAAAAATCTTAAAAAAAAGGTGTATTCATACATTTAGATATAAATAATTTCATTTTTTCTATGTGTTTTTATGAATTCTTTTGTTCTAATATTAGTAATGACGATAATCTCATGAGACATTTTTTGACTTTTAGGCGAATATATATGGTACATTAAAGTTATAAAATTATAGTTTAAAAATTAATTTGTATTTTTAATGATAAATTGAAGCGTTTTTTTTTTTTTACTTTTAACCATATATGGTATTAAAAATTATTTTAAAAATATTTTTCAGATTGTTATTATTAACCACAAACAAACAATAATTATCAATTTTTTTGTTACAGGTCAACAGTCAACTGAATTAGCAGTAGGAAAAAATATATGATTTGCTGATTTTCGGATCACAGACAAATTTGCTTCCAATAAAAGAAGATGTTATCAAATGCTGCATTTACAAAATGCAGTGTGTTGGATCTAGTAAAAAGGAAAAACTGGTAAAAAGGAACCTTAAAATTTATTTCATCATAGTTGCATTTTATTCTACTTCAGAGAAAATATGTATTCTGAAAATACTGTATTCTGATGCGCCCATCTTTGCAGTTTCAAAGAAACGTATCAAATATATGATTTATGCACAATTATGCATATTTATGCATCACAAGAACTATATTGCTATCAAGATCGTTTATAAAAGATTGGAGAAAAGCATAGCAACTATAATAAGAGTAGAGAAGTTTAAAGGATCATATTTTCTTTTAGATATAATTGCATTTAAGTGCTCCACTCTTGAAGAATGCAATTGTTCGAAAAAATGTCCTCTTTAAGGAACAGATGATTCTTGCTGATCAGAGAACAAAGTGCCTGATGTGCATTGGATCACTCGATTGCATTTGATCAAACAAGAAACCAAAATGCTGGACTTCAGAAAAGGGTACTGCGCCGTCTTGAACTGAAGGCCGGTAGAGCTGTGCATTGGCCTGTTTGTCAACTACATTGCAACAAACTGCCACTTCTCAATTTGTTCAAATCACTCAATAGTCCTACCTCCAGACCCACTTCCTACACTGGTTGCATTGTGAAATCTTTAAAGGTAGGTTAGCTACTTTCAGTGGTAACATTTAAGCACCATTAAATGAAAATGCACCATTAAATGAAAGTAACTACAAAGCCATTGGTTTTACTTTTTTTTTTTTTAAAAAAAAGGTCACCCACAATGACTCTTGATTACCATGAGTCCAACACCAGTAAAAAAATTTTTTTTTAAAAGAATTTAAAACTGGGTCTCAAAAGAACCAGAATTTCATAGAGATTTGGGAATAACAGTTTTAAATAAAAATTGCCTACATTTTATATACAAAAACCAAAATTTTTTAACTGAAAATTAAAAAAGTTGTATTTTATGACATTATGTAGCAATATTTTTTTCAAAAATGTTCACCCTATTGGACATCTTTACCATTCATCCAGATACTTATATACTGTCATCCAAATACTTAGATCAAGTAAATCACAATGTTATCAACCCAGTGATTTTTTTACAGCTTACTTCGCATTCTGCTTGCAATGCTGACTGATAAGAGAGCAAACATCAGGGCCCTTGACATAAAAGCCTAAAATTAATAAAAAGTCATAAAAGCTTGAGAATTAAGTGAGACGGTTGGACACCTTGGGACGAGAAAGTTAAATATTCCAAAAATAATCTTTGAAGCAATTAACTGCATCGAACTAATTGACTGGCCATTGTCAAAGTAACTACACTACTATATACAAAATATTTTACATTTTTTTAAGGCCTCAAGGAAAGAATGTGGTTAAAATAAACAGAACGGTTGCTTTACTCTAAAATTTCCACAAGAAAAGCTATATCTGAATTTAGATATAAGATGCTTCTCTTTCTTTAAGGTGACCTGAAAAAAATTTTCTGACAACAAAAGATTGATTGGACTTTTATAAAGTTCCCATGCCACACACAAGCTGCAATTAGTTATGAAGGCCTCAAGGAAAGTATGAGGTCAAAATAAATGGGATGGTCGCTCCACTCGGAAATTTTCTCCACAAGAAAACCTATATCTGAATTAAAATGTAAGATGCTACTACTTCTTTAAGGTGATCTGAAATTTTTTTTCTGAAAACAAAAGATTGATTGGACTTTTTCTTTTCTGGCTCATTGCCAGAAAAGAACATATTGTTGGTTAGGTGTCAAATTTTGCACAGTAATTAACCATACACAGGTGCAACTTTAGCACACTACATCAAAGTGATGTGACATTTAAAAAAACATTTCCAACAAAAAAAAAAAAGAATTTTACCAAATTTTAAAAATTCACATTCCTTGTCTTAAGAGAAGGCTTTATAATATAATGGTGAAATTTTGAACAGAAGTTACTTGTGTATAGAGACAACTTTTCTGCACTAACCCTAAAGCATTGTAAAAAAATTGTTTTTTTTAATCACCCCCCCCCCCCCAGTAGAGAACAATATATAAGAAAAATTATACACATTGTATATTAGACAAATTCTTGTAACAAATTTCTTGTTCTACAAATTTTTTTTTTTTGAATTCATTACAATAGGATTTTAAAATAATTAAGTTAACTATTAATAGTTAACTATTAATAGTTAACTATTATAAAATAGTTAACTATTATTCAGTTTTTTGTTTATATAACAAAGTTAAATCCTTAACAAACAAATTTATACATCACGAACGATTTGAACTCTAGAGGAAAAGGATCTTCAGAACAAAAAAAAAATTAGAAGTTTTCAGTGAGGTAAATACTAATTTAATATTTGCTGGACCCAGATATCTGAGCATAACAAGAGGGATAAAAAGTCTCATATCTACAAACATCTCCATGCTAATGAAAATTGTTTCATGCAAATAAGTAAATAGTGTTTTTCTGTTTTAGATTTGGCATTGACAAATTTGAGTTAAAACTTAAAGAAAGTATGTTCATAGAATGGTTAAAACCTGGTATGAATAAACAGGTTAACCATGTACAAATGACATTTTCTGTTTAGCTACTATTTTTTATACATATCTTTTTTTTATATACGTATATTTTATACATATCTTTTTAACCTATTCTTTTGTTATTTTCTTATTTCTAAAGTATGACTGATGAACTTTTTAATTGATTTTATTGTATTTTTGTAACTATATTATTATTGGTTTGTAAAAAATAAATTATATTTTGCATTATTGTTTTTTTATATACCTTTATAGGTATTTTAACAAATTTTAAATA